GAAGCCTTACTCACTGCTTTATCGTGGTAGGGGTGCTATTTACAAAATTCAGAGGATAAAAAGCGAATGTCTGGAGCTTTAACCGAGTTGGTGAACACGGAGAGTTGGAAAACCCTGATGCCAAACCATTGGTGCATACGGGCTCCAGGATCCTAAGGAAACAAAAGGCGTATGAACCTTTTGTTGGTTAGCGGCTGCAGTGAAGGAGAACGCCAATGGGGACAATCGAATGTATTTGAGCACATAATTACAGAGCATCTCACTAAAATCTGAGAACCATATATTAAATTGTTAATTTGCAAAATATCAATCCATCATATCAAACTTGACTGTTCCTGTTGCAAACATTAATGCCTTGTCTCAGATTTCATTGTTCATGAGTTTTCATACCGATTGCGTTTCGTTCCCGTTCTTTCCTCATCGACCTTCTACTGAAGTACATTCTGTGCCTGACCACCATCATATACTACTTGTGTGTATAAAAGTAACCCACATCACACGGCTACTATGGGACTTCACCTCCTAACGTTGCTCCACTGCCATGTTGATTAGACCTCTATATCGAAGGCTCAGCGAGTGACCTCAAAAGAAAACCACCTGCTTCGGTTTGGACGCTCGGGTATTACCCCAGCCCTCAAACAAATCGAATGACAAAGTGAGGCGCACGTACATCTGGTGCCTCCTTGTATCAATTCTTATGTATTTAAATAAATAAATAAGTGGTATATCTAGGTTGTAAGTAGTTGAGTCACTCATCACGAATGCTCATTTGTCAACTACTCCCAACGCTAGTTTAGACGAACACTGAAGACTGAAATACCAGTCCCTTAAATCATGGACTCTCGACCTAAGCTATATTAATTGTAGACTTCCTGGTGGAGCCCCACAAGATAGTCTACGAATGAAGGCCTTAAGTGGTATAGCAGCAGTGGCATGAATCTACCTTTACTTAATCTTCGCTTGAGTTTATTAGACATTCTTCTCCTTGACTTTATTTGTAATCTTTTACATACATTCTTTATTTGGTTTTAAACAGCAACCATACTCTACCGTAGTTTCTATTTATTTGCTTTGAATCTTGTTACTTATCTGTTGTTGTAATGATATTAAACGTCCCGAATTCCATATATGTAACTGGCTGACTTTTAATGTCTTTCAAACTTACAGCTTCCTATGTGATTTGCGTAATCAACTTACTATACTGAAAGAAACAGGTCAATGGATAGTAATCAGTGTCATATTATCTTTAGTAGTAATACACTCTACCAATATATAGCTAACAATGATTTGAATCTTTGAAGTAAGGGTAATTCTATCAGTTGATTATGTCTTGTTGATGAGAACTAACAAGTACAAAACCTATTTACAGAGGTTCCTACGAATTAACTCCAACTATGCTTAATTATACACCGCCTATTTATGCCTTGTTTATTATTTCATTACCCTCCCCCACCCCCAGGTTAACTCTTCAATGTGTTCTATTAGTGTGTCGAACAAAAGTGCTGTTACCAACAGATTATATTTTACTGTCTCTGTAGTGTCCATAATATTTTTACTGTCTATTAAACTGGTACTAACTTGAAGGTACAGAAAGAAGCCTTCACATGATCAGTAGTTAAAATTAATGGAACCCTAAAATGCGAAAATTTTGGTTACTAGAGAACATATTCTGACAGCCTTCCTTATAGTTTGGAAGATACAAAATAGAAATAGATAAATATTGAAAACCTAAAAAATCTACATCCGCTGTATAGTTTTGACATACACAGAACAAGCAAAGAATGGAAAAATGTGATTTCCACTGGAGGGAAGTGCTAAGCACAGTTACACGTGCTGAAATATTTAGACACTAGTTTTTAGCAAATGTAATATCAACTACAAACATTTTGATAGTACTAGTTACTACCATCTATAAGAAAAGTTTACTGATTTTCAGACGCGGAACAAGCACAAATTTGTATCCAGCCATAAGACAAAACCAGTTAAGGAATATTGTGCTGAGCCGAATGTGGTGCTTAGTTACCTATATTACTTGAACCAACATTTTTAAGCTGTAACTGATATAATTGTTTAGTCTGCATAGCGTAATTCACAGAATCAGGTATGTTTCAGGATTTGATCACAACAATTAGACTGAGAAAATTGACAGAATGTAGCTGTAATATTGACGTATAAGCTTACTTTATCATGTACTCAGAAATATACACCATTAGATGAAAATCGAATGATGGTGATTAATACTGACGAACAGTACTTTAAGTCGAAACTACCCCTTAATTAATAATACTAACAGATAGTTCCATAAAGATAGTGATTAGCAGTTTATAACGTTTTTAAGTTATATAGAAAAGGCATCTAGCATGTAAAACCTGTCAAATTAGGCTGTTAGTAAAAGAATTCTAGTTAATAATTCAGTATGTAAAGCAAAACATGGGATTAGGAAAATTGAACGTAGTTATATGAACTACACGTGCGGCCTAATATATTAGGCAGGATAAAAAAGAATTAAAGACGAAGATAAGTACATATAATGTGAAACCAAACGCAAGGTTAAAAATCAGACTAGATTAAAAGTGAAGCACTGTAGCACGATTTCCGTCTAACTGCACCGCACATATATGGGAGCATCGGAACAGATAGGTAACAAGTATTCCATAAAATTACCAGCAGCAACACAAATTATATGCATATAAGAGAATTTCTACACAACTAGAAAACAACTTGAATGAAATACAAGTACTCGATACCAAAACTCACAGTTTTGCGGCGATTTGACCGCGTTAGCTTGGTTATACCAACCAGGTTGATAATTTTTTATATAAATAATAAATATCCCAAACGGCATATAAATCCACGCGCTTATATCTACCTAGAGAGACTTAAAAATAACCTCCTGGAATTATCCAAGTAATTACATTCAGACAAATTTTTGAACTGAGCGGCCAATATTTTACGACCACTCACATTTCAAGGTTAAGCAATCCAGTTTTTACTGGCTAAATTCTTATTTGTTTTCTGTACCTTCATTGGTTGGCACTTTTACAAGGTTAGATTGTAGAGAAATGTTGTCATTTCTCAAATCTATTTTTGGAAATGTTTTATCAACTTAGGCCCTAGTCTCTGGAGTATGGTTCGTGTCAGTTTCATTATCAGCTCCAATCTGTAGCTAGCAGAAATGAGAGCATCAGAACTTCAAGTAATTAATGAATTTTCTGATTTTCTATATTTGCAGTCGCCACCTTTAATAGTTTTAAAGTTATCTCATCTAAAAATGTATACCTTTCACACTGACTTCATGATGTTTGTATCATAAGTCCGGAGATTTTGATCTCTTAAAGCAATAAAATTATGTAAGAGTAACTTTCCCCAGAAACAATGTGTCAGACAAGGTAAAAAGTATTTTAATAAGTTAGAAGATATTTACTTCAGGAAACCTAAATGCGGCAAAGAAAAGTAGAGATCAAAATGAACTCCAGCTAGTCCATCACTAATTACTAAGTCAGTTATCCTCCTGAATCCTCTGATCGTAATCCAATAAAATACATTTCCATGACTTATTTTACTTCACGTGTAACGACTTCTCACGAACATTTCTCGATCTTGATTAGTATTCAAACACGTGGTTCCATAGATCAAGGCAGTTATTTATTAGCGACAGTGGGTGGGAATCTCACTGTATTCCAAGCTGACTACAGTCTAGATATATGGATCATTCGATTCCCAGTCAGCAGCTCAATAACAACGTACTCATCGCAAGAAATTACGTTTCATGGTTAATCGTCACGTATTATCGTAATTGTACATGGTTGGGAAATCTAGAACTAAGATGACAAACCCATACAGTACTTTAACTTCTCTTTTAAAGAGGTTATATTTTCTGTGGTTAATGAGCACAAACCTCGAACTTTAAGCCGTCAGAAGATGACATTGAATGAATAGTGACATGGAACCGCGCTTAAACAACAGCTTTGAAATGGAATTTTTGTTGTGGATTTGAGTCTAAGTAGTGCTAAGATTGAAACTATGAAATATAAACCTTTCTAATTGGTTATTCTTGACTTTGATCACACATTTTGGATTATACGGCTAAAAACAATAACAATAATAATAGTATCAATAATAATAATGATAATAAACCATAAGTTTCTTTTCTAATTTAAAAGGAAACTAAATTTCCTAAAACGCTGAATTATCCGAGAACTCATAACTCAATCCCCCTAATATTGCTAGCCTGTTGTGTTTCTTAAGTTTAATCACTCTCCGAGGTAAATGCCAAAAATATCCTGTATGTCAAATTTATAAATAAAAAACATTAACAATGATTGGCACAGTAAATCTCTTTGTAAATTATTAAAGATAAATTTAAAGAGAACAAATGATGTAAAGTTGTTGGTTAGTCAAGAATCGGCAATATGAGTAGAATAACTGAATTGTTATATTTCCAACTTCTCCATTGAGTATTTACAACAGAAATAACAATAACTATTAGAATTGTTATTAAATACGTGGTAGTAAATAAAATGTATTGAAATTTCTTGCTTATGTTCTTTTTTTCAGTTCGACTTATGAATTTGTAATTTAGTATTAATTTGATAAACAAAAACGAAATACTTGAACTTATAGACTTCGAGAATTTTAATTAAAAATGTGTTTTATAAAAGAAAATACCATACAGTGAAACTATATTAGGAAATAATCCCAACTTAGTAACTCTATGGTGGTTCGTGTACATATTTTGCGTGATGTAGATGCTAAAAAATATCAACCTGCTATTTGTTTCGAAGATGAAAAGAAATGCTAGTTTTTATAAATCTGTCATTCATGTTACTTTACAATGTATACAGATCTTGAATATATGCAAACAAATTATGCGTAAACCCAACATGGGAATTCATGAACTAGTTGGCCGAACACAACCTACATTATTCTTTTAAATATCAATAACAATATTGAATTGATCATAATAAAATAGTTTAAATCAATCAAGTCAATAGATTTACCTCGTCTTCTTTTCTCCAATCAATATCTTCATCTGTATGTGGACCTATTGAATCATTCATTGAATCAACTGACGCTAACGGAGGGGGTGAACAACTTCGAGCTATTTTGAATGTTTGGGTTCCAAGACGAGGTCTTCGTCTAACTACAGCAGACGCTGTATTTCCTATTGATGAAGACTCTCGAACTGATCGACGTTTTTGGTAATGATGACGTTGTTGTGATCTCAGAATTGGAGCTTCATTACAAGTTAAATTTCTCATAGAGCCTACTCGATATCCAGTTAAGCCATCAACCACTTGATAACGTAATCTTCTGAGTCTTAAAGAGACTTGGTTTCGCGCTAAGAAAAATATAATAAGTTAATAATGAAGTTAAACAATTAAATGAATGATTGATCTAATTCAGTGTTTTCACATTATTCTGGTGATAATCATGTAAACACTTACAGCGAATCTGCTCAACGACATCTTCATGATTGAGATCAGTGGCCGAAATACCATTCACCTGTAAGACAATCAATAAAGCAGACTGCTAGACAGATTGTTCAATTGTTAACGTATAAAATAAAAGAAATATACGTTGGCTAAGTAGGAATCACGAAAACTTGGTATTCTCCAAATTTAATTACGTGAATGAACATTACCTATCAATAAAAAGTGTTATCAATAGATTTTGATGATATTTAGATAAAAAGACCTAACACACTACCTTTGTCCAATGATAGTCTATATCCATCACGTGTGTTACCTATTTTTATATATACATACACTAGTTTTCTTATGATGGCTCATACAGTCACCACTATTTTTGGAGGTGTTGTTTTTTTATTCCGATTCATCAACTCAAAAGAACAAAAACAGATGAGTAACAGAATGTTACAACACTCAGTCCATATGCCATATAAAACAGTGATTTGCTGATAAACTTTCATCTCTTAATCTAAACGCTAGAAATTTTAAATGATGAAGTACCACACATTGACTGAAAGAAAATAGTATTATATTCTTCAATATTAATTTCTTTTTTTGAAAACCAGTTCAATATTGATCATACCGATTCTAAGACCTCCTAAACGTATTTAATTCATTCCTCAAGTCTCACAGTTGGTGTTTAGATCAGACGAACAAAACTGTACTTGTTTGACAAGTTGTTATCGCAGTAAATCAATTCAAAACTGTCAAATCAGCCTTATATTGTTTCAGTTAATAGATAAACTTGTTGGTTTTAAAAAATGATTGATAATGTGACATGTAAAGCCCTCCCATTCTGTATCTATGTCAATCACAACTTGTATTTCGCATATGCTGATTTCAATTAACCATATGGGCAAACGTTTTGGAGGTCCAGTGAACGTTTGTCAAAGAATAAGACATTACAAGTAAAGGGTTATGGAAATCATTAAGTTCCGTTAATTCAATGAAGCAATCGATTTTAGACCATCATATAAAGCCTGGATGCGCTGGACGACCATTTCCTTCTAGTATGAAATCCCCGACAATGCTCAACCATGACCTCACACGGGGGACTCGAATATAGGACCTTTGGTCTTGCTTACGAACACCCGACCTCCAACTGTGTGGATGTCCAACTTCAATCAATCTACGATAATGCGTGATTATCTTCCATTGTCTCCGGTTGTAACTGCCTCACTCTCGACACGGTTGAACTCCACTAGTTAAAGCTTCTCTTCAGAACTCCGAGAATTTCCTCTCGAAACTAGTCTCTAGTGAGAAAATGATTGCTGTAAGTTTAGAGTTTTTAATAGTGGTCTGATATTGACCGGTTCATGATTTCAGCGAAATGAGTCATTTATTAAGATTCGTTTATATTTCTCATTCATGATTATTAGTCCATTGATCATATTAGGTTAACATGATGAAGTGTCTCAACATTCACACATCATTCAGTTTTTGCTAAAACATATTTCATAGAGTAATATATCGTCTTTCATTTTATAACAATGGATTCATCAGTAAAATACTAAATTGTTTCAATCTTCCAAAAATTATGTTAACAGTACCGTTAGATTATGCTTCTATCACTAATGTAAACAAAATGCCCCAATAATTTTCATTTAATATGATATGAAACGGCTAATCAATTATCATGCACCAAACAATTTACAAAATGAATTCTTATGACTGAATAATATAAATGAATACCTACTATCAGAAATTTTGTTAACTAAACTATCTTTCAACTCAATAATTATGATGTCTGTTTATGAAAAGCAGACTTCTTTTACGTTGTTCTAGTTAGCTATGAGCAACATAGCACTTGGTAAATATTCCCACCGGTTCAACTTGTCACACTACATCGGTGCAGTAAAATGAAAATGACAAGATCGTTACCGAAGACCCATGAGTATTCATATTAGTTGTATCAAAGATAGTAAAAGAGACTAGACATTGAAAATATGATTGATGAAAAAATATTAGAGAAACAACAGGTGTTAATAATTCAAAATTTCTGGATCTAAGTCACCTGAGAAGTTGCTGCCGATTCCCAAATACATCACCCAACATCTTCACTACTGGTCACGGCAGTCGTAATTATTTTAATTAGGTAGACTGTATCTATCAACACGACTCAAATTAGATTGATATCATGCTTAGATTTAGCAGTCCCTTGCATTTTTCTAAACTACTCTTATACTAACCAACATCACATGCTAAACTGAGTGAAGATATTGCCATCTCACCTAGGAGATAATGATCTTAATTTAATAATACGTATAACCAAATTAACATCGATAAGTGATATCTATAAAAATTATTACTAACTTTTAAAGGAAACCCGTGTTGAAAAACAGAAGCATTTTTAGTTGATCTTGAAACAAGTTATTGAAATACATCAGATTATAGAGTTAGATAGACATAAGCGAGTTTTAATCTCAACTTATTTTATTCTCTACACCAATGACTTCAACATTAGATGATGGCATCCCAACAGTAGTCATGGTTTCACTTATTATTTGTGTCAACATAAAAGACTACTTTTCACAAATAAACTGAAATGTAACAGTATTGAATCCGATCTGCAATCTAGTCGATTGTAAGTTGAACCACAGACTCCCTTATTTCATGGAAAGAAGTCCATTTTTCTCTTGATTACAGAGCACATGGCAACACCGAACCTCAAGGCTTAGATTTCAGGATTCTTACTAATTAGGTTTCTTCATTGCTTGATAAAGACTGGTAATCATTAATTTACCGGTTTGATTTACCCATCCAAGGAAAATAAATAGGAGAGATGAAATACCATTAGCCGTCCCACGGTAACTAATTTATTAAGCAAACCTGAACTTCATTTTACATTTTGCTTCTGTTATTATGTGGACAACATTCTTATTTTTTTACTTGTTCTAATCAGTTAATTTGCTTGAAATCAGCTTGGTTAACAAAATAACACAAACTTGCATTGGTTTATTTATCTTCACTAAATGACTTACACAATACGGCAAGTCTCACTTTTAATTTTATTAACATGATTGGACCTTAAAATTTTGAAATCCAATCGATGAAATTTTTTACAAATATAATTTTTCTCCCTAATGAGTTACATTAACTCGGCTCCCAAATAGTATGAAACCATTCGTTCAGACTTAAATGAAAGTTCTTATAAAGTACGGATCCAACGCTTTATCAACTAATCCATACAACTCATATAAAGTTTGTTTTCAATTTTTACCATTACTAGACCACATTTTCTTTAATTTTAATCCACTAAATGCATCTGATATTAAAATCTATGGTGAATCACTCATCTGCCTTGATATAAACTGTCGAAATTGTAAGCGTTTGTATTTTCCTTTAGCATATATATAGAACCAAATCTCATCGATCCATACTAGCCTACAAGGATAAATAAATATATATCTCCACAGTGTTTGCATTAACATATCTATTGTATTTCAGATAATGTCCTAATAATTTAATTCTAAATATCTAAAAAGAAGTAAAATGCAAATCCTTAAAACTAATAATTAATATATCTTAGTGGTTAGTGCATTAGACGCTTTAGCATTGTATACTGGAAGCGAAGATTAATGTGTTAATCAATATTAAGATGCTGTTGACACATTCATCCAACAAGTTTTAAATAGGGAAAAAATGTACATTCTGGATTTTACTATTAACCACTACCTAAAAGTTAGAAAAATGAATGAAAAATTTTTAAGGATAAAAAAGTTTTAATTAATACATGGTTCGTATCAAGTGATTCAATAAGTATTAGTCAAATGTAACATTAATATTCAATCGATACTATTTGCTTCTTTATGGATTCTTCAGATGTACACTATGTATGTATATATGCTAATTAATTTCAAGGATTATTGATCAATCCAACATTTTAGAATGTTAGCTATAAACAAAATCACTTAAATGTGCATTTATTTTACTATTTCGATGAGAAACACATCTTAAGGCATCGTTATATTTATTAATGGTAACAAATTTACACCGTTTAAAATTTTACTTCGCAGAAGTAACCTATCAAAATGAGGTATATTTACTGGGGTTGGACTAAAGAAAAATCTTTTTCCATAAATATAGATTTTAATTAATTCAAAGAGGAATAGTAATAAAGGAATTTAGTTTTTTTTGGATTATTCACAAACTTTCCATTTTAATGATTAATTTGTAAAAAAATATAGTAGATACAGTCATAATTATGAGAGAACTTCCTTCCGTTTTTACATGTTTAAACGTGTGTATTTTCAATATTTGGCATTATATATTCATTAGCGTTATTTGTCGAAAAAAACATATTACTTGGCGAAATCAATTGGTAGATATAATTGAAACTGATTACAATCCACATCAGGCAAATGGTATTGACTTTGATGTTATATTAACTTTAGTAGATTGAAACCAAGTAAATTGTCACCACGACTTTATTGAAAAAATTAAGTTTCAGTCTGACAAATTAGTTTTTTGTAATTTCAACTAGTTTATTTAACTTATCAAAATATGCAATAAAGATTAGATCATTTTCAATAATAATAAACTTCGTCAAAAGATTCCTAAATATGCCCTGAATATAACTAAACCAACCACTGAAAGTGAATCTTAACGATATTAACTTATATGCAGTAGTAACTATTTATAGAATTTAGATCACAAACTGATCTTAGTTAGATCCCTATTGAAAACCTACAAGCACTGGACGATCGTTTCGTCCTAATATGGAACTTCTCAGCGGAACGCATTGGAGGACCGGACCCAGAACCCTCAGTCTCTTGAGAGAACGCTTACCACCTTGACTACTGAGCTGACATTCAGAAGTGTTCATATCTAGTTTCAATCAATTCGTGATATTGCGTAACCATTTGCAATTGCATAAGGTGGATAAACTGTCTCACACCCAATATGGCTAAAAGTCACTGGTCTAACTTTCATTTAGTGATTTAAATTTATAGAAACTCTATGAACTACACAACACCTGATAACAACAGTTAGTAACTATTTAGTTTAAGTATCTAATTTATAATTTTTAAACTT